AATAGAAATGATATAGAAATAGCACGACATGACATTTTTGTATAAACTTAAATACTTACAATCCCACTCGTATCCCATTGCTAGATGCCAAGTACCCACCAAGTAACGACGCTGTTATATCAATCAACTTTTATGAATTTCTCCACATTAATATATGAAAACATTTATAGGCTTTAGATATATTTATTAGCAACGCGGCTATAAAAATCACTGAATTTTAGAAGTTATTAATCGGGATGCGTTACAGCTTTTCCATTAAATTTCTTTAAATATACATACATCTGTATCAGATGTATAAACTCGGATTCCTTTGATTAATGAATATTGCCTTTTTTATTTTTATCTGTCTCGACATCGTTATCGTTTTTACACAGGTGTATTTCACTGTATTATATTATTATAATCTTATTAAAGTTTATTTTGTGCATATATCATTCAACCACTATTCGATAAATTACATTGTTTAAAATTTACATGTATAAATACTCGACATCCTGATAAACAATTTGCGATTCCGGTTATGAGAAAACGGGGCAGCTATTGAGGACTTTAAAGCAAGTGCCAAGAAACAGTTTAATAATAAACAAAAATCTATTTGTGGCAAGTAAACCATGCAATGTGTAACTAAGTATGGATATTTTGTTGATGTATGAAACACTAGGATCAAAGAAATATTACAAAAACAGGAATTTTCTTAGTTTTTAAATTATTTCTCATTTCACAGTAAACAATACGGTAACTTCCAGGAAATGTTACAGAAAAAAATAGGCAGGTATTTGTATTTTCAAAGGAAATGGGGTTGCCCCAGTTACACAACTAAAAATAACAGAAAAAATGCACATGAAGAGAAACTGGCATCGAGTTAAAAAATATACGACTCGAAATTTTTCTGTATGAGCATTTTGTCATCGAATAAATATTTTCACAATTGTTTATTATCATTTAACGTGCCAATAAATTGGCATAGAGTAAAGATATTTTTAAAATCGGGATGATTTTTGTCTAGCGATGAAAGTTTCTTTCTCTGGGTTATATTTATGGAATATTTTTTCAGTAGATAGAATTTTAAAATGTTTTATTGTAACTTTTTATAGTAAACTGATTCATCACTGCTATTTATATTCTTTTACTAGACCTTAGAGGATAGATCCATTATACAGGGTGTTATTTATATACGTGGCCAAATTTCACGGAGTGATTCTTTGAGTGATACTAAGACAGAAAGTTTATATAAACATAGGTTCGGTACTGCTTCGTTTTCAAGATAGTGTCAAACTTTTTTTTAAAAATCGATTTTTCATAAAAATCTTAATAATCTTTTAGCTGATTTTGTTCAAAATTTGGCAGTGTTATTTATGGTAGAAAAGGGCTAAGTTAGCCCTAACTAGAATAAAATTATAAATAAATAAAATAAAACTATCAAAAACTGGGATGTACCTAGTATATTTTTGCCATATCAATAGTTTATTATAGTCTTAGAAATTGTTATAAAAATTAATTAATATTTGCGTGTTATTAATTATTAAAAATGTTTTTTTTTGTTTTCCATATACATGCAATAAAGTGATTTTTATTTTTTTCGCCAAAACGGAAACAAAATACGAAAAAAATTCAAGCGACAAAAAAGTTGTATTTTTAGTTACTTAATGCAAAAAAATTTACAAAAGTTTTAAAGTCAGTGGCGCACATTTTTTTGTCAAAAATTGTAGTTAAGGTGCCCTCCAGGACGCTACTGAGCTTAATAATTTTAATATAATTAGCCCCTTTCTGCCATAAATAACACTGATAAATTTCAACAAAATCGGCTAAAGAATTATTCAGATTTTTACGAAAACTCGATTTTTTGAAAAAAGTTTGACACCCTCTAAAACAGTATTACCGGACCTACGTTTATATAAACTTTTCATCTTAGAATGTACTTAGAGCGTACTTAAATAACACCCTGTATTTTGATTATTATTTCTTATGGCCTATTGAAAGTTCATAACTTTTCTTAACTTTTGAATTTTCAATGAAAAAAGTGTCACAAAAATTTTGTTATTTTAGAAATCAAAGAACGTCTAACTAAAAACTGAAAATATGTTACTGGTTTGTATATTTTCAAATTGATATACGAAATGATAAAAAAATAGTGTTACCAAAATTTCATGGTTAGTTAAAAAATTAAGAAAGGTGACAAAAAACCAATGCATGATTTTTCTTACTGGCTCATTCTCAGTTTGTAGATGTACGAAACAATATACAGGGTTGACATTTAGGAAAAAATACAAAAGAAATCCCCATAAATAATTCAAAAGGTATAAGCAAAATAAATTTTGTGAAAATTTATTGATCAAAAGTTTTGAAATTTTGGTTATTTCTTACTGACCTAGGTTGCCCAGAGCTGTCACTACAAAAACTGTATTTTGTCACCGTAGACTACTTAAAAAATAATATGTGTTTTGTAGATATCTTGAATCTAATAATCCTTATACGTTCAATAGAAAAAAAAAGACATATGCTGCCTGTGAAACTCCATTCTGTTCTGGTAAACAAACATATATTAGGAACTTCAATGCATTATTTAATCATCTAAAAATAGAAGCCTTCGTACAAACAATTTTTTCGGTCACCATTTCGTTACAAACCAATATCTGTAATAAAAATAAAAAATAGCAGTAGAAATGCTCTGTGGGAAAACACATAAACTTACGTAAGACAAAGACATCGCCGAAAAGATCCTTCACCAAGCAACAAAAAATTCAATATTTCACCCAAAACTTGTCGGGAATCTTACTTTCGTACCTACATCCATATTCATGGAGATGGTAACAGAAATATATGAGCTAATAAACGTCTGCCTAGATTTTCATGTGAATTATGTAACGAAAGCATTGAGATGTTCATATAGCAGCGTGCGCCCTGTTTTTTTTAAGTAGGATACTGGAAATGTTTTGCGACATTGCTTGCTGTACAAAGAGGGGGTGTTAATTATAAATGATTAAAACATCTACAGTATGTTGCATATGTGTGATTATTGATACAAGTATTTAAATCTAACATTAATTATTTGCTATGACGTTTTTTTTCTTGATCTTGAGTGATTAGGAAAAATTAAAGGGAAAACCAAAACTATTATCACTTATCGCACTATGCAGCAGAATTCTTAAATAAGTAGGTTATTCTGTTTAATGACGGTCAACTCAACAGCAACGGCAAATAATTTGGACAACACCAGAGCTGGGTAATTCCTGGTGAAAAAGTAATTAGCAATTACAATTCCCTTTTTTTTCCTGTAATTGTAATTGTATTTAAGTACTTTTTTTTATTAAAGTAATTTGGAATTGTAATTGCAGCAAAATTGTTATAGGAATTGTAATTTGTAATTATATTATTTGAACTATCGAATTACAAATTACTTCTATAAGTACAAATACTTTTTCCAATTACAATTACTTTTTCTAATAATTATAATTACTTTTAAGATCATGCGCATTGCGTAATTGCGTACAGACTTGCAGACTTCTATTATTTCATTTGAGGAAAGCCTTGTGCCGCGTGAACAATAAAAAGTGATTTGGTGAATTGACCTCAGAATTAACAGAGTACATTTTATTTTATTATAATTATTATTAATTTAGAAAATATACGAAGTAAAAATATGTTGTCTATAGCATCAAGTTTTATAAAAATATATATTATGTATCTATGTGTTACTGCTCTTATTTTGAGTTGAGAAAACTTCTGGTTCGGTTACTCAGCCTTTCACTCGTACTTGTTCGATTCGTAATTTTTTTAATAATAATTATTGCTTTCCAGTCTACCCAAAACTACTGTATTCTATATTTTGCAAATGTACTAACAACCAAAAAAAAGAGCATCGGGTTGAATTAATTACCTGACCAATAATATAAAATTATAGTATGAACTGAACTAGTTTAAATTATTAGATTAGGAATAAAAATATAAAAATTCTATATCAGAAAATGAATAAGAATAATCTTTTCATTTTAGTATCAATTCTAATAAATAATAAAACGCAATATTACATAACACTTTTAATTAAAATTTTTAACTTAACTTTTTCCTTTTTCTCTGTTTGGTCACTATAATTTACTTTATCATAAAAGTAATTAGAAAAGTAATTGCTAAATCCATTTTCCATGTAACTGTAATTAAATTAATATAATTTCTTTTTTAAAGAATATACTTTGTAATTGTAATTACTTCCTTTTTTTAAAAAAGTAATTTGTAATTGTAACTATTTTTAAATTACAAGTAATTACCCAGCTCTGGACAACACGATATTTGTATTGATGATTTTTAATGAATGATTTTTCAAAGTAGCGCTATGCACTTTGTTGTTTTGGTGCAAATGTTTAATGTACATTGTAAAAAAATCGGTACAATATTGAGTAAAACAGAATGAATTTCAGTGATTTTTTTTACAGTGTAGGCTCACAAGTGGAAGAGAATCCATATCAACCAATAAAAATCCATTTCCATGCCATGTGTTGCTATTGGCATATATTTGGTTGTCATAATTCAATCTTTTTTAAAAGCAAAAAAGAGTAACAGGTTTCCTGGGTTCTTTAGTTCTCTTCAAATATTTGCAAGGCCCTGTATAAAACCAATAACGTTTACGCTTTACCTTAACCAATTACACTTCATAAAAGGGATGTGACGTCATACATCAGGCTCTGAATTTCCCCCCTCCCTAATTTGTCCGAAATAAGGTTACTAAGTACCGCAAATTTATTTCTATGAGGTAGCAAATAGATTTAAAATGATGTATGGTGCCGGGAAAGATAAATAAGTATAATCATTTGATCATTTATTACACTAAACACTAATTACAACCAGAAAAGTTGGAGCACTTCTCAGTGACGTAGAAGAAATATAAAATCTCTACATACACCAATTTTTCTGGGTCACCTTTACAGTAATTTGGATATTCACTAACAGATGTCGCGCATTCCGCGAATTTCACCAATAATATCCAAGAAAATCCTGTTTTCTAGGTCACCGCGGCAGGAAAAGCAGTCCTGGTAACCGGATGCGACTCGCCCATCGGTAGCGCCCTCGCGCGACAACTGGACGACCAAGGATTCACCGTGTTTGCAGGATTCCAGAACGCCTCCGACAGCTCAGCCGCCGAGGAACTGAAGGAGTTCTGCTCGGGCAGGTTGCACGTCCTGCAGCTAGATGTCTCCTCAGAGACGCAGATCCTGGCGGCGTCGTTGTACGCCGTCGAGCACCTGCCAGATGGCGCCCCAGGACTGTGGGCAGTCGTACACGCTCAATCCTGGGTGGCTTTGGGAGAGATCGAGTGGATACCGCCACAGGTAAGTGGGGATTATGAGGGGATAATGCGGGATTTCAATTTCGGCTTAGGCAGGAATGTTGAATTGTACTTTTTTTAGGAATTTGTCGAAAAGATCAAACGAACTTTTATCATAATAAAAAGTTTATTTTAACCTGACAATTTAAGAATTTTACTGCAAAATTCTAGTCAAATGAAAGCACGATCCGTTTTTCGAATAAAATGTAAGAGACTACTATCTATATTTATTTATTTATTTATTTATTTATAAAGTGTGTTACATACACATAAAAGTGTTTACACGCGTCCAAAAAAAAAAGAAAGTGGTAAATAACAATACACATAATGATAGCAATCAACTAACTGTTATACAAATATACATAAATAACATATAATTAAAATAAATAGGATAAACGACATATTAAGATTAATGATAACATTCATATTCGAGCTACATTACTGTCAATAAAATCTTCAAAACTATAAAAGGCATTTTTGTTAAGTATTTTTTATCCTTGATTTAAAATTATTTTCATTAAAAATTTGAATTTGGTGAGGTATCATGTTAAAAAATTTGATGGCCCAATAATTAGTACCGACCCGCGTTTTACTAAATCTTAGAAATTTATTACATAAGTATGTGCTCTTTCGGGTATTATAAGAGTGAGTCTCACTTCTGATTTCAAAGTTATGTATGTGTTTTTTGACATAAATAAGACATTGAAGTATATATGCACAGGGTACAGTTAGAATGTTCAATTTAGAAAACTGCTCTCTACAGTCCAAGTAAAACCAAGGTCAGATATGATTCTAATAATTTTTCTCTGAAGAGTAAAAACTTTTTTCATAGAGGGAGCATGACCCCATACTAAAATAGCATATGTTATGATGGAATGGATATAGCCATGATAAACGATCAGCAAGCTTACTCCGGAGTAAACAAGTATGTTTTGATATCTTGGAGCAAACATAATTAACATGTTGATCCCATGTCAGTTTAGGGTCTAGATAAACTCCCAAGAATTTTACATGTGCTGGATTATCCCAGTTTTCCATATTCCGGAGACTAAAAATCATAGTTTCGGTCTTCGAAGTATTCAAACTGTGTTGATTACTAGTAAACCAGTTTTCTACAGATGCATGTTGGTCGTAAGTTGATGTCATTAACTGTTCAAAGTTTAAGTTGGTTCTAGTTATATTGGTATCATCAGCAAAGAGTATACTTTTAGTATCATAAGGTAAACAATTAGGAAAATCATTAATATATATCAAAAACAGTAACGAACCCAATATGGAACCTTGTGGAACTCCATGTTCAATATTTTTTGTGGATGATTTCACATTATTATATACAACATACTGTAATCTATTACTCATATAATATCTTAATAAATACGAAATATACGATGAAAACCATGATTATGTAGCTTATGTATAAGAATTTCGTGTGATACACAATCGAAAGCTTTCGTCAGATCTAAAAATTGACTAACAACGTATTTCCCTTCTTCAAAACTATTGTTTACTGTGGATGTGGCTATGGCTAGTGTGGTCGATAGATTACTTCGAAAACCGAATTGTTGAGGATTAAAAAATCCCTGAGTCTCAAAATAATTAGTTATTTGTATTTTTAAGATAGTTTCGTATATTTTAGCTAGATGAGGTATTACAGAGATATGTCTGAAATTAGAGGGAACCTTAGACGTTTTTAAACATTGGGCGAAAATATTTTTACGTATACAATAATTAATTAAATCAGTGCAAGGTATTAATATTGGGTCGATTATTGATTTTTAAATTTTTGTTGAAATATTATATACATCCAAACAGGGATTGCTCTCAAATCTCTTAACAATCTATTTCTTCTGTATTTTGCTACATGTAAAAAAAAATTAAAAATCAATGAAATAAACCCGTTCGTCAAAATAATAAGTCATTTCTTTTTTCTAAAACTAGTTTAGCTTAACTAAAAATCTCACACTGAGCAGATAGCAGAACCGAGAAAGACGTTTTGTTTTTAATTAGTACTATCAGTTTCAATTTGTTGATTAATCTGGCTCTAAGCTAGATATACAGGGTGCCCCACGGTGATGACACATTAAACATATTTCAGAGACTATGATTTTAATTTTGAAAATTTGGGCAATAGTTGTGGAACAATGGAACAATTTTGTTCTCTTTCGAATGGTATAATGGTGCCGTCTTTTCTGGATTTTAAGGTATTTACTGTTTTTCGTGCAGTCAACGGATATCGCATAATTTCTTGCGAGGATGACTGAAATTTTTAGTTGAACTTCAAAACAAGCACCTAATCTGTCGCCAGTTTATTGTTGTCAATTTAAGACACACAGTGAATGTTTATTTGAGTATTATTTATTGTTAAAGAATGGAAAACGTTAACATTTCTTCAAATGCTGATATTTCACCGAATTGGGTTTGTCTTTCAGTACAGGTACAAAATTGAATTGAAATGAATGCTGACCACTAGTTTTCAAAATCTTTTGGATGCAGGTCTTTGAAATGCCTAAACCCTGTTCAGCAGCAGGAACTGATTATTCAGGATAAGCATGAAAATATACCAAAACATTGACGATGTTACTTACCTTCATTTAAAGTTATCAGCTTTGGCAAAAATCTATGTGCAGAAATTCGACCATGTTCTAATTGATTTCTTAAAATTCTTCATAAAATGTTGTCTACTCGTTGGTGGTAAATCAGGATATCTCTCATTAAATACCCTGCAAGCCCTATTTATTATCTTGTGACACTCTCCATGAATAAATAATGAATTTAGAATGTCAGCCATTTGAATGTTAACGTTTTTCATTCTTTAACAATAAATAATACTCAAATAAACATTCACTGTGTGTGTTAAATTGACAACAATAAACTGGCGACAGATTAGGTGCTTGTTTTGAAGTTCCACTAAAAATTTCAGTCATCCTCGCAAGAAATTATGTGACATCCGTTGACTGCACGAAAAACAGTAAATACCTTACAAATCAGAAGAGATAGGTATAGGGAACCATTATACCATTGGAAAGAGAACAAAATTGTTCATCAGGTTGCGCAAAATATGCAGGATGTTCCATTTAAAAAAAATAAGGTAAAATAGGTTAAAGTTAACTAAATTCGGCATTAAATTTCTACCATCCTGTATGAAATTAAGGCAGGGAAGCTTAGACTTTTAGTTATGTCCCCATAAATTTTATCGCTCTAACTTTATTATTGTAAAATATAGGTAAGTACATCGTTTTGAATTAGGCAGTGCTTTTTTAATTTCTTTTGAAACAAATTAAATATGTCAAAGTTATGAAAGTTCACCTAAAAATTGAAGTAGAATCCAAAATTGCAATAATATACAGGGTGTTCCATTATTATGTCAACTTCCGATATAACCGGAAACGTTAGGTGGACGCCATTATTTTAGTTGAGGACATGCCTGAAAACACTATTTTTCAAATTTTCAAAATTAAAATCGAAGTCTGTATAATATTATCTTTATCGTTCACGATTTAGTAAAATAATCGTTGTTTTTTTTTAAATTCTTTAAGGCCACTACTGCTTTCTTTCTTCAAAATTTTGTCTGAACCCCATTGAATGATACTCGGAATGATATGACCGTTTTCCCAAACGTGATCGCGAATTTTCAAGAAACTGTTTTTTTTTTCGTGTATTGATTATGCATTTTAAAAATATTGCATAAAGGGTAATAATTCACAACTCTCTGATACCCGTATGATCAAAAATAGATTTGGCGATTAAGATTGACATTTCAGCGGTTAAAAAAGTTTACTGAAAAATTATAGTTGTGTCTCTATGCAAACTTATTCTTCTGGCAATGTAGCAAATATAATAAATTCCCCAAGACTCGACATTTATTTGTCTAAAATCTATATGTTAGAGTATGTTCACCTTGTTAAATATTCTCCAGGATTTAGGTACGGTTATGATGAAAGGCTTGGACTATAGATTCATTTAAAAAAAAGTCTGCCAACAGTATTTTTAAATCGTTGAACATATATCACAATTTTGGCCAATAGAATGTGTCATAATCAGTTATTCTCGACCAGAGACTTGTTAGATTTGTCAGCTATATTTATTTGACAGAAAAATTCTGTAAAAAAAAGAACGTTTATTGATTTTGGCTATTGTCCACGAGATACTGACAATTTTACTTTTACCACAAAAAATTTAGAATATTGTTAGTCATAAAAAATTATCATCCAGGGCTACTAAAATATGAGAAATTCGTAGAAGAAATCGCGTGGTTCTTGTGTACAAAATATACCAACAAATTTCAATGTAAAATATAGGTACCAGTATAATAAGAGTGTTTTGAGATTCTTTATCTTCCTTTTTTCTTTACACATTTTTTTGTAAAGGTGTATATAAGCTGAAGTGTATTAAAAAGATACTGAAGTTAACTGGGGCATATAAAATAAGAAAAAATCGAATTCCAGATATAATCTATGTGGGATATTACGTAAAGTTTCTAATGGATATAGCTTAAGCTGTCACGTGTTGTTTTGACAGTTGATGTTGATGGATCACATTGATCCTTTAACTAATGATGCAATTTGGAGATGGTTCAATAGTTAATATAAGACGTTAACAGTTTCCCACTTCAATGTGTGCTCGCATAATAGCAAAAATATCGCAATTTCTTCTTTCTTTGAAAAATCTAAAAATAAAAACTTACTCTGCACTTCTAGCGAATCTAATCCTGTAGATATACAACAAATCAGTTAATATGTAATATTTGGAAAAGATATTTAAATCACACAGGGTGTAACTTTAGGTGAGGGTCAGTTTTTTACAAATATTAACACGAAACTCTTTTCTTTAATAAAATAAATAGTGGAATTATATTTCAATTTCTAAACTGCACCTAAATTATTATTTATTATTATTTACCTGCAACCTTCTGATCTACGGGAGACTCTGCAGTTTAAATTTAAGCAGAATCCGATCCTGATCAAGGTCAACGGAGGCTAGCCTCCTTTGCGCAAGCCCTATGAA